CATGCACAGCGCCGGCCGATTGCTGATCCTCATGATCAGAACCAGAACATCACGCAGGAACTATTTCTAGAGTATCAAAAGACTCTCGCAGATGCGTACCACGGTTACGCGCGGCTCGCAACCCTCCCATCTCTGCAACAAGAGGACCATGTCGAAGTGGTGCAGCAGCAGTTCAACAGCCGCAAGATCGACGACAACCACGTCGAGAAGATCCGCAAGTCGTTCGTGGATGACGGATACCAGAGCCTCCTGTGCGGGCACTGCATCGAAGTTGCGGTCAGGTGGGACGACATCGATTTCACAACCAAGCACAACCAGATGCTTCCTCTCGACCTCGATTTCTTGAAGTTGAAGCCTCGACCTGACGGCTCGCCCAGTCCGGTGTACGTCATTACCGGACAACATCGCATCGCTGCGAGCATCGCCTTCCTCGAGCCACAGGTAACCGAGTTGGAGACGGCGAAGGCGCGTTTGGAGAACATGGATCCCAGCAATGGTCAGTACAATCGGCTGGTAGCGCGGTGTCAGAGACTAGGGGATCGGCTTCGCCGGCAGGGGTGCTGGCTGGCAAGAGTATCCATCATGGGTAAGTGTGTGCGCGCACCCCTTGCGCACACCCACTCACACTTTGACACACACACACACAGAAAAACTTGGTAACGGTGCGGCGGCGGAACGGCTCGCGCAGAACATCGGCTGGGCTCACAAGGTCGAGACCAGTGAGGATCTCTTGCGGACGCACTTCCGTGAGCTGTTCAAGTTGAAGCGTGATGGCCGCCTCCCCGACTACTTGGCCCGCCGCGGATCCGTGGTGAAGGAGCTACGCTTAGGCACGGCGACGACGACAACGAAGGGCACTGCTGCCACTGGCAGTCACATCAAAACGATGCACACGAACATGTTCTACGTCACGCCGGTGTGCGACTTCCTCATGTCGCTGACACCGATCATTGGCGAAATGAAAGAGGAGAGAAAGGTACAGTATTATTACGACACTGACTTTTTCAGCCACCAGACATGGATGAAGATCCTGAAGCCGGCCGGCGGGGTGAGTGTATTCATTGTCACGCTCGGCTGTCGGTTGTTCATGATGGTGCGCGCAGGTCATTGTATTCAATCTGCGGCGCATGCGCTGGCTGATGGACATCGTCAGCTCAAAGGCTTCGTTCTCCACCACGCAGGATGTGGAGTCGATATGTTCGCGGTACGATGAGGCCCGGCGCGCACGTCACAGATACTTGGAGATGAAGACGAACGGCGACACCGAGCGGGCCCAGGAGTTTCTCCAGGCGCAGACGAACCTGGATCTGTTGGAAGAACCCGATGGGACCATACCGTCGATCATCTCACGAAAGTACACGGCGTTGAAACGCGAGTTTCACACAGGGGGTGCGAAGCCCTGTCCTGGCCTTTGGACAGATGGCATGCTCAGGACTGTCGACCGTGCGGCGCTTGATGTTCTTTCCAGTTCAAATGTTTTGGGCGTGCGCTCGAGGCAGGCTTTTGACACGATGGCCGAGTACGGTAACGCGCTGGTGGCGCAGATCCAACTCATGATGGGGTCATCCGTCCCTGGTGCCGACGACGACGACAACGACAACGAGGGGCCACGCAGCACGCAGCAGCGGCGCCTGTCGCACCTGGACTATGTCATGGGGCGCATCACGTTCTTGTACTACGGCTGGACGTACATCAAGGGCGACATGGAGTTTATCCCTGCTCTGCCGTTGCTGACCGCGACGCCGATGCGGATGGTCCGGGAACAATGCTCATTGTACGAGCGGGGATGGGAGAGGGTGAGTGCGCGCACACTGCTGCGTGACCTGCGCGCACCCCTATATGTGTGCTTACTTTTCTTTTATAGCTTGCGTGGATGTTCGAGCCGCTCATGTATCATCGGTCCTTCTGTGGGACCAGCGGCGCCGGCACCGGCACGGGCATAACCACTCACGACATCACCGTGGATGCGACCGTCTGCGCGCTCTATAGTGTTGGCAACTACAAAGATCTCAAGTCTGGCGCAGGCGACTGGGACCGTCCGGACAGTGTGCAGTGGGAGGTGAGTTGAACTTGTGGATGGTGCATCTCGAGGCTGAGTTATTTGCCTGCAGCTCGCGCGAGAATGGTTCGCGATCGACACACGTTTGTCGCACTGCTGCACGAAGCGTCGACGGAAGTAGCGGCCGTCAACAACTTCCGCAGACACTCGAAGAAGACGATCAGAGAGGCGTTCATTGTGTACTCGGAGAAGAGCAAGGGCAACCCCGCTGAGCGCACGGCAGAGGCGGTGAGCATGATGAAGGAGTCTGCGCTGAACGAGTTGTTCCCGGACTTTGACATGGCCAAGCACATCCAGGCGTGCACGCAGAACACCAAGTCTCTGTCGAACGCGATTGTCAATCAACGGAGCGATGCACTCCAGCACCTGTCCGGTCTCTCGCTAGACATGCTCGGCATGCGCGCACTCATGCGCACTGCGCTGCCAGTCGTCGAGGGTGCAAACACCACAGTCAAGGTTGGTGCTCGCTCGCTCGTCCCTGTCCTCGCTGCAGCGACGGTGGAGACGGCGGCAGTCCTGCTGATGTACGGGCGCGGAGGTAGCTGGTGGACACTGGGAATTGCTCAGGGCCGAGCGAGGTACGCAGCCCTCCTGTGCCGCTTCAAGGTCATTCCGGTCCACGAGTGGTGGGACATTGTGAGGCCGGACAAATCGTGGAAGCCGTCAGAGGATGGGACCGGTGCGCACGCGGACCCGGAGTGGTTCACCAAGGGCGAACCGTCGACCACGGAGCAGAACGCTGCGAGTCTCATTGCAAACTCTGAATTGCAGCGTGCGTTCGCGGGCAAAATCCCTGCACCTGGACAAGGTCGTCAACCACAGCAGCAGCAGCAGCAGCAGGCAAACGCGGTCGCCGGCCCATCGTCGTCGCCGTTCACCTTGAACGCGCCGGTGCCAGCACCAGGTGCGGTGGCCGCACCTGCAACAGGACGGGCTGGGAAGGCTTCTGCGATGGCCACCGCGGTCTCGCATCACAACACGCAGATCGCGAGGATACTCGAGTCGCTCCGCAAGCTGCCTGCGTTCCAGTACAGCGACTCCACGGACGGTGCCGTCAAGGGCAAGAAGATGGGCGAGTCGCTTGACCAGATGGCGAAGGGGACGATGCTTCACCTGTGGAACGTACGTTGCTTATAATTATTAATGTTGTGTGCAACACTGACGTGTGCGCGCACCCCCAGACGAGCGAGTTTTTGCGGCATCGTATGACGGAGCGGGCGAACCCCAAGCGTGTTCGACGGGATGATCAAAGCGATGACGAGGAAGACGACCGCAAAGATCAGATGTACGCATGGACACCGCTTCCTACCACCAGCGATCGGCCAGGCACGGTTGACCCGCTCGCGTATTACCCGTTCTGGGCCGACGTTTCGGCGGCGATGGATCAGGATCCGCCACTCACGACGACGATGGAAGACGTCGAGGATGTGCTGATGACGGCGCTGGGGTTCGATGTTGACATCCAACCGGACGCTGACAAGGACCGGGTCACGCGGCGGCTGACGAAACAGTATGCGACCCGCCAAGATTTGTTCAAGCAGGTTCTCAAGCGTCCTCTGGCGTACATAGAAGACATGGACCATGAGGTCCAGTCGCGCATGAACGAGAGAGTCGAGGCCTTGCTGCCTGCCCTCGTCAAGCATGTGCGTGACCAGCCTTCTAGCACGCGTAACAAGGATGTCGTGCAGTCGCTGCTCCAGATGCTCGTGGACGAAGGGCATCTAACGCACACCGAGTGGGAGCCCACAGACGACGATGAGGATGTCGAGAAGAAGGCGACCAAGGGTGCGCGCACCCACGACGACGAGCAGGAGGAAGAGAGGTGCCCCAAGCCTTGACTGACGGCGGCGACGACGATGCGATGCAGGTGGACGACGAGCTCCCGGTGGTAGTAGAGGAGGAAGAAGAGGTCGACAACGGCGCGACGGTGACCCACAGCATGCTGGCTTCGCATCTTGGGTTGGCAGGCCGGCAGACGCAGTCACCCCCGCCGCTGAACCAGAGGAGCAAGCGGAGGCTGACGTCTCCGATGGTGAGTCCGAAACGGGCGCGGGAGAGCAAGCGTGCAAAGGTCGACGAGCGCGCGCACGTCTACCAGAGCGCACAGGCCATGGCCGTCGACGTCATCGGGTTCCTTGATCACTGCCTTGCGGGAGCCGAGCTGGACGAGGATACGCTGACACGGCCCTACCAGATCGCCCTGTTGCGTTTTCTCGGCATCTATCCACTGCCTGGCATGTTAGAAAACGAACCTCTCCTTGTCCAGGTTGCTGATGCCAACCTGCGCGTGCTGCACTGTGAAGCCGTCGTATCGCCCTGTCCTTCTTACTGGAACTGGAGATACTGGAACTGCCGGGCAAGTCCATCCCGATCTTTGCGAAACCCACACCGTACCACCAGTATGTGATCTCGCAGATCCTGCGCGTATGTATAGGGATGGCCTACTTCGCCGGCACGGAACGCATCAGTAAGTCTGTTCAAAAGGGTCAAAATAGGTGATCGCGCGCTATAGCGCGCGATCACCTAAATCGTGCTATTTTAGGCACTGCGCACCCTTGTGCGGGGTGCGCGCACCCGCTGGTGTCAGAAAACACGGGTTTTAGGTGATCGCGCGCTATAGCGCACGATCACCTAAAATGGCATGTTTCAACACATCCCGTGGGTCGTAAATAGGGTGATTTTGGTGATCGCGCGCTATAGCGCGCGATCACCTAAAACCCATGTTTTGAGTGCCAGTCATGTACCATTCGCAGGGTGATCGCGCGTGATCACCTATTATTTGAGCACTTTGCTGACATGCATTTCAGACTTCCTCAACGAGAACGGCGGTGAGTGCGATGTATGTTTGTAGGGCGAGTCGACGTATACTCATCATTGTACAGAGGTGACGGGCAGTTACCACTTCCCGGCCGTGTACATCATCCACGGCATGTGGCCTCCTATGTCAGCCCCGTCAAACAAGCACGTGAAATCGCGCACACCGGTGCAGGCCCGTCGAGATCTTCAGCGATACTTCGGCGAGGGCAGCAATACCCAACTGACTGTGGACGTCGCGACGTACGAGGTGAGCGAGGAGGAGATCAAAGATTTGGGGAGGGGTACAGAGACAGGGTTCTGGCGCGCCATCCTCGGCTATGCGTACCTCGCTCGCGATCGCGCATGTTTCGTGGCCGACAAGAACGTCCTCAATCTGAAACTGCCCGAGTTCCATGATGCGGTCATTGTTGGCATACTTGGTGCGTGAGTCTGGCGTCTCGTTATACTCTTCTCATTCTCGCAACACAGCACGCATACGGCACGCTGCGGGAAACACTGGCGCATCTATTGTGGAGGTGATCGACATCTCGAGACTGATGACCTTGTGTCATATCTCGTACGCAGAGTCCCAGTCGTCACCGCCACCGTCTCTGGCATCTGTGTGGTCGCCACCCCCGTCACAGATCGGATCCGAGAACGCGGTAACGTTCGATGAGCGGGCGTCACTGTACGGATTCCCGGAGGAGGTTGAACATGGGACGACAGGACAAGCTCCCGTTCCCGAAACCGCCAGAGAAGCCTCATTGGTTGCAGCCAGGTACGGACGACTTCGGCGACTGGGCGTCGCGACAGTTACAGCACAGCAAGATCCGCCGTCTGCGCCTGCAGGACCTCCTGGAGAAGGTAGACGACCGGTCGTCGTTCATGCGCGACGGGCAGCTGTCGAAGCAATACCCGAATACCAGTCCAGTGGCGATCGACTCTCTCAAGTTTTCCATCAAACGGTACAAGCAAATTGAGAAGACGTACGCAGGTAGGTGTTTTTGTGTCTTGCGGTACTGGACGGTGTTCTGACGAGTGCGCCGGCTTACTAGCGATGATCCAGAAGACTATCGCGCTCCAGGAGTCCGAGCGTATCACGGAGGCCCTGGCCAACGCTGGTGGAGAGCCGACTGACACCGTGGACGAGGTCGAGCGTGAACCGGAGGCGAGCCAGCCGGCCCTGAGCAAGGCGGCCGGCAAGCGTCCCGCTGCTGGCAATGTGCCGGCACCAGCTCCGGCGACGCGCAGCCTACGGAACCGTCAGCAGTCGTCCTCCCGTGCTTCGAGCACGAGCAGCAGTCGGGCCGCAACGCCTGGCTCGGTTCCCAAGTCGAAGCTGCGATCCACGTCAGCTGCGTCCAGTGGCTCGTCCGGCAGCGCCAGCACGCGCCAGAGGCTGAATACACCCCGCGCTGCCAGCGGTAGTGCGGCTCGCCCTGGTCCATCAACTCGTGCCCGCGACAGTGGCGCTCCGAAGGACGTGTTCAGCGACGTCAACACGCAAACTCGCATGTGATCGGTCAGCACAACGGGTCTCCCATCTTTGTACTACTACCTATGTCTCTCTAACCCCGCTGCTCACATACGTCTTGCCGCCGTCGACGCATCGTCTTGTATTACATATCGCACCGCTTGAATGACATGCATGATTTTATGATACTGGGTGCGCGCACAGGGAGAGCTGCGACGTCGCACGCAATGCGGCTTCTTCGTGCCGGCCGGTGAGTGCTATTCCTGATTGAGCAGCGGCGTGGCCGATGTGCGCGCACAGCTTTGTGCACGATTCCGTTCGAGAGCGTTCTCGCCCAGCATGCGTGCGCACACGAGGCGGGTCATGTTTCAAACGGTGAGACGTATATAGTGTGAGTCGACTACTGCTCAAGGCTGACTGCCACTATCATTCATCATGGCCTCTCGTCGTCCACCCCCTCCGTCAGCGAGCTCCCGGCGGGCAACGCCTGCGTCGTCACAGCCGCAGAGACGACGAGGGAGTGCTGCACCTTCTGCACGGGGTGCCTCGTCACGGCGCAGTGTGCGTCCCTCTGCTGGACCGTCTGAGCCCGTTGCCGTTCCATCCTCGCCGCCCATCGCTGGTCCCTCAAGGTCATTTGATTTTCCGGCATGGCCCATTGCTGGTCCATCCTGGCAGTCGGCTGGGCCTTCTCGTCCGTCGGCCGGTCCATCTCGTCCGATCGCTGGTCCGTCTCGTTTATCAGCCGGTTCCATCTCGTCCATCTGCTGGTCCGTCACACCCGGCCACAGGATCACGCGCGAGTTCGACGGTGGCTGCTTCAAGAGCGCCGGCTGGTGCTGGACCGTTGCGGGCACCGTCACAGGCAGCGTCGCGGGCTCCATCACGGGTAGCTTCACGGGCACCGTCGCGGGTGGCATCGCGGGCACCGTCGCGGGTTGCGTCGCAGGCACCGTCACGGGTAGCGTCGCAGGCTGGAACTGACGGTGATCAGTCCGGTCCCGAGGACAGGTGCGTTTTAAATACTTCTCTTGCACCTCGGACGCCGCTAACGGTCAAGCGCAGCGATGATGATGTGGCCATCATCGTCAACCCGGTCCCTCCGGCAGACATGGATCCACACGAGGTCCTGTTGCACCTCGCGAGCACTGACGACATGAATGAGTAAGTGCAGCCTGGTCAGTCTGATGAGTTGTTGCGTACGGCTGACGGATGACTGCACACGGGCAGACGTGCGCGCGAAGAGCTGTCGTCCACGCTGGAAGGTAACACGGGCCCGTTCAGTCTGGATGCGCTTCCGGATAGCATTGCGGCGGAGGATGGCTCGGCGAGTCAGGATGATGTCAGGCAAGGTATCCGTACGCGCGAGGCCCTGAGTCAACAGATGGACGGCACGTTCCGTCCGCGAGCTGGGAGGAGAACAAGTGGCGAGAATGCCCACGGCAGACGGTGAAGGTGTCGACGCTGCGCAAGTTCCAGGAGCACAACACACCACGGAACAGGCAGTTCGCGACGAACCTCCTGAAGAAGCGCACGGTCGTGAAGGTAGACGACGAGTACATCATCCCGAACTCTGATCCGTCGCTGTACTGGCACATTGACCATCACTTCCTCGATTTCCTGTCCTGCGTCCCGGGAAGCAAGGGATGGCGGTGTGTCTGCCGACGGTGCCTGCGCACCACAACTACAGTGTCAAACTCGAGCTGCGCCAGGGTTACAAGATACTGCGGATGACGAAGCACGGCAAGCTCGGTTGCGACCCGTCGGGCCGGTGCGTGATGTTTGGTAAATACGGCATTGAGGAGCTGTGGGGGGTGTTCGTCCCCGTGTCCTTCTTTGACGACGAGGTTGGCGAGAGCGACAGCGAGGCGCCCCTTCCGCTGTCCGCATATGGCATCAAAAAGGGCAACACTCGTCTGTCTCCGGAGCACTTCAAAGTCTGGCAGCTCTTTGTCTGCCGTCTCCTCGAGAGCATCGGCTGGAGCGGCCTGACGATCCTCCGAAACTATCCGTTTGGCAAGTCGCAGGATCTGCGCGCGGGGTGGGACATCCAAGATATTTGTAACGTATTGTGAGTCGCGAAAACAGTCGAAATAGGTGATCGCGCGCGATCGCGCGCGATCACCTAAATTGGCCCTTTTTCAAACGACGTGCACTCACCCCCTCGATCTTCTTAGCGAGCACGCCAGCATTGATTTGAACTGAAGAACGTGCAGGAGATCGACGACATCTTCGGGACGAGTGGTCGAAGTTCGTCGAGGAGATGCCAGCGCGTGGAAGGCGACAAGTTCTTCGTACATCACAAGCCCATCTCATCTCGTGCCGCTATGGGCAGAACACGCCGATCGGTGTCCAATACCAGCTCCACCACGAGGCGGGTCAGTGGGACCAGATGCGCACCTGGTCCCACTTGAAGTACGTGAGCATGGCAATCGCCTCCGAGATCCAGTGAGTACACCATTATTATTACATCCGCTGCGCACAGCTGACATGGGTGCGCGCACCCTTAGAGTACACCAGGTCGAGGAGTACGAGGTCGTGTCGAACGACGCGTTGATCAGGAAGTATGAAGCGCTGTACGAGCACTACATTCCCGGCAAGGACAACCCGCCCGTCGACCTGGACACGTTCCCCATCTTCGACGAGAACGGCATGGAGATCCCGCTCTACGACAAGAAAGGGGCCCTGGTGTCGCGCAGGCGTGTGGACGCGTACAACCTCACAGGCCCTGGCTGCGGCCTGCTCCTCGATCTCCGGCGGATCCACGAGATGTTCAGCGTGTCAAACGACGACGGAGAGGGTACGGCACGACTGCAACATGAAGAGAGACAGCGTCGCCGAGAGCGTCGTGCAGCCGCAGCCTTCGCCGGTCAGGACACCGGCCCCATCTTTGACGAGGAGCAGGAGTTGGTCCAGCAGGATGATGGTGATGAGGCTGCTCACCGTCCGGCGACACCGTTTCCGCTGCTGCTGAGCAGGATGAGCTGGATGCCGCGATGTTCAGGCTAACACCGAGCCCGGTCCTAGGCAGCATCTGGGATCCCTTGACACCGCCACCGCAGTCATCTGACCCCGGCGACGGCAGCGACGTTGCTGCTCCGTTTGACTGGGATGGGCTTGGAGACCAGGATGATGGCGATTTGGACGATGGCACTGGCAAGGAGGAGGAGCCTGAAGAGGAGCACTACGACGAGGAGCAGGATCAGCAGCAGCAGGTGGAATATTATGACGACGAGGAGCAGGAGCAATATCATGGTGACAACGAGCAGGCGCACGACTACGACGACGACGAGGATGACAATGACAGTGAGGCGTTTGCAGCAGAGGTGGAGGCGATGGTCTCGGAACGGGCAGAGCGGGCGCGACGTCTGCGGTTGGACTTGTACCCGCAGGCGTTCCTGGGCCATTACGGGAACATCCAGGCCAACCAGCTGTTCCCGCACTATGCACCGTTCTTCGTCAACATGGAGAAGCTCATCCGGGAAGAGGTTCCTGAGCGCCCCGACTTCCACGAGCACATTCCAGATGGAGGCGAGTACGTCGTGCCTGATCTCGAGAAGCTCGAGAACTGGCGGAGGTTGCACGGACACGAGGGGCCTATCATCGAGGAGGGTGGCTGCCAGATCTACAACTCTGCGTCGCACCGCAGCCGGCCAATGGCCGGGCAGCAGGAAATGTCGAACGGTTCACTGACCCAGGCGGCGACTGGCTCGTGGGCCACAGGCGATGCTGGCCGCAAGCTGCGCATGAAGATTGTCAATCGAAACGAACTTGGATTGCCGCACGAGCGGTTCCGTGACACCATGATAGGTAGCAGCAGGGACCCACCTGTCGCCCTGCGGTACGAGTGCAACTTCACCGTCTACGTCCGCCGCATCCCTGAGAAACAACGCACTGGATTGTGGGTGCCCGTACTACTTACTACCTCTCTTTTGATGATGCCCTGTGAGCTGACCGTCACCCGCAGCGACATCTATCGGTTTGTGCCAATCAACTTCATCCAGGCCACGACCAACCCCATCATCATGTCTCGCCTCAAGAGACACATTGTGGTCTTTGCGCCTGGTGTAAGTCATTGGCATGATGTTTGTTGATCGTGACTCACACCTCGCGGGGGGGAGCAGATCTTCCCGCGGATATACGACTGGACGACCTTCCCTGTGTACACGCTGACGGAGCAGATGTACAAGTCGATGCGGCCTTACCTGCAGGAGAACGGAACGGCCGACGTCAAACTGGACCCGTTGAGGGTTGAATTCCTCGCGATCTTCGAGCGCCTGCTAGCGTACGCACACACGGGGAATGCGCGAGTGATAGCTGGGTGCATGACGTTGCTGTGGTTCAAGCGGGCTCTGCTTGAGCTGGGCTTCCCGTGCATCCACCCCGACATCTTGCTCGACTTGGAGAACGAGTTCCCGCTGTGCATCCCTGTGACGCGCTGGCCGCTTATAAAGTCGACCATGACCCCTCAGACTGCATCCGCACGGTCCATCGAGCTGACGTGGGGGCCCGCAGTATTGGCGGTAAGTCTTACCTCAACTGTGTGTGTGTGCGCGCACCCTGGAGTAGGGGTGCGCGCACTCGCAGATTGGTGTGTTTTAGGTGATCGCGCGCGATCGCGCACGTTCACCTAAAATGGGGGTATTTTGGCAATGCTGACGACACCCATTTGCACGACAGTCGTACCTGGCCACGTTCACTCTGCAGATCATCGAGATGCAGGACATCCCGGCCAAGTACAAGGAAGCGCGCGACAACGACCCCGAGTTCGCACGCGCAGTCATGGTCGCGGACCTTGGCGTCAGGTTGCTCATCGGTGACTTGAAGGAGTTCGTGGCGAGAGAAGTGCGTGCGCGAGCGAAGCGAGTCACCCAAGCGGATATGGAAAAGATGTCCGAGCTCGAGCTCCACCACCACACTCACCGCGAAGAGACCATGGAGCAGTGGATGGAGTGCGTGAACGCGTTCTCCCACAACAGCAAACAGGTCGAGCCCGGGAAGAAGACGGACAGAAGGGCAAGGCTGTGGCGAGCACGGCTGTCCCGTACGCCTCCTGGTGCGCACACTCGCACAGACCCCTGCAGACATCCGCGCAGGGCTGCCAAAGCGGAGGACGTGCGGATTGGCATCGTCGACTTGGCACAGAAGATCTGCGACTGCATGCGCGCAGTCAATCCCCATCCGCTGCACGCTCCGCTCGTCCGTGGAGGAGCTTCGTTGCCCGTGCTGAGGCTTGTTGTGGCCCGCATCACTGACAGGGCTCCGTCGTACCTGACAGAGGCAGCAGCCCGCCACACATGGGCTGTGAACGTGTTCGCGTATGCCCTCCAAAAGAATGATGTCATGTTCATTCCGTGGGTGAAGGCGACGAAAGCGCCGGAAGGTGGCAAGCGCCGCGGTCCCCCCTCTCGCAAGACCACCGTCGACGCGTGGATCGACGTCGAGCGCCCCAAGAAGCCGCTGCACCTGCTGGGCGTCACGATCACGCCGGCGGGAGAAACCATCACCACCCTGGCCGCGACTATGACCCGCACCGTCGCCGAGGAACTGGAGGATCTCGCGAACGAAGCGGCCGAGCGCGCGCAGGAGACCAATCCAGACGCAGAGTGGAAGGCCGTCGGGAGACCGTTGCACGAGATAGGCTGGTTCGTGAACCGTCGCACGTTGCCCGACGAGTTCACCTTGCAGAACGCAAGCATCGTCGAACCACCGCTCATCGTTCCGAAGCCTGGTGCAGCCCCTACTGTCCAACGGAGGAAGACAGCCGCTGCCGCCGAGGAGAAGGAGGTGCTGCGCAAGACGTACGAATGGGTCATCAGGGACTTTGACTTCACGGACGAGGTGCACCACCTCGCGCTCATCATCGCCGTGGTTTTCTCCCGCCTGGTACCAAAAGTGTCGTTCCCTAAGGACGACGACAACAACTTCATCTTCAGCTCACGCGCAAACGACGTCAAAACGATCACACAGGAGATCCGCAACTCGGATTGGTGCGAGATGCCCCGGAACGGCTCTGGCTGCAAACAGCAGGCCCCGTATATCATCATGGTCACGGTGTACATCATCGGTCTTTGGGACGAGCGCAGTCCCCTCCATGAGTACCTCAAGACGACGGCCTCCAAGGCGCTCCACCGCGTGTTCCTTGGCAAGCACGGCGCAAAGGGGATCCTCATCCACAACCTCATACGCATGCACCTCGCGCGGGGAATGACTAACAAGGCCAGCAAGGGTGGTGTCATGGGTCAGGACTGGGATTTTGAGACCGGCGACACCCTGCGCGGACTCTGTCGGTACCTCATCAAATGTTTCCTTGACTCACAGTACGGAGCGTACGACGCCGTCACGCTCCTTTGCGGAGTCAAACGCGCGGAAGAGCTCGCAGCGAGCGGCCAAGTCGTGCGGCGCTCGGGCACGCTCTATCAACCGCAAGATCCCCGTGAATCGTCGGTGGCTCCCCGTACATTGTCTGTCGCTCCGCGTGCGTCGTCGTCGGTCGTAGTAGCACCTCGCCCGGCCGTGGCCCGGCACTCTCGCGCCCCCACGGCCACGCCTTCGCGACACCGTGCACGCCCTGCGTCGCCGTCACCTGACGTGCCTCGTGAGCCGTTGCCTGAGGTCACCACGCTCGACGACATCTCGCGCACCGTCAGTGACACCACGTCCTCTCCGCGTGCTTCGTCGTCGTCTACTAGTAGGGTTGCCCGTTCATCGGGGTCGTCGCGCACTGCGTCAAGCTCTCGGTTGGCGAGGACAACCGGCGCCCGTGCGAGGTCATCCACTGCCAATCGGCTCCCCGTGCGGTCTCGCAGGTACCCAGGCAGCAGAGGTTCCGTGACGAGCCCGATCATCCTCCACCTCCGCAGCCACCCATCCAGTTTGTCACGGGCACGAGGAAGCGCAACCGGCACCAGTACCAGGGCTCCAACGTGTTCCGTGCAGACGACGACCATCCTCCGCCCAAGCGGGCTCGTAAGTGACCGTCTCGTAGTTTACCGTACATAGATATTGTTGCAAACATTTACTTTTGGTCGTGTATTGTGGGTGCGCGCACCCCTGTGAGTCGAGCAAAAATATGTGAGCGTGCGACGCATTCATGTGAGAGACATACAGTGCATGCCAATATCGTTTGGGGGTGATGTCGTACGATCAGTCACCCGATTCTTGTCGACGAGTGCCAATGTCTATGGGTGCGCGCACCCCAAAGTGCTCAAAATAGGCTGTTTTGGTGATCGCGCGCTATGGCGCGCGATCACCTAAAATGCGTGGTTTTTACAGTGTCTGACACCTATAGGTTAGACGTGCGCGCACACTTGACGTACGGTCGCACCTCGTCGGCTGTTTACTGTGCTCGAAATACCCTGTTTTAGGTGATCGCGCGCGATCGCGCGCGTTCACCTAAAAGGGTGGATCTGACGGTGGTTTAATGTCACAAAAGGGCTCACAGGGTGATCGCGCGCGATCGCGCGCGATCACCTAAATCGCACATATTCCACGTGAGATTGTCATTACATTGCGACGGTACATTGGATGTTACGGACACGGACAACGAGAGAGAGGAGGGACGACGACGACGCCTTACACACGAGCGCACTACCGTATCGTACACACGCGAGAGACTATGCTTATTGTAATGAAAGGACCTACCTATGTGTGCGCGCACCCGACCCGCCCGGCCTCACATCTGCATGGCGTCCGACTGCTCGCCGACGTCCGGGTGCTGCACATCGTCTACGCCCGTGCTCCCCTCGTCGCCGCCGGGTTCCTGTCGTCCGCGACGTCGCGCTCGTCGTTGCGGCCGTGGTTGTCGGTTGGCGACGGAGGGCTCGGGGGTACTCTTGCCGACGTCGGGGCTTTCTGCGACGCGCACGCCCATCTTGATGAGCAGCAGCTGCGCATGTTGTCAGTGGAAGGTGCGCGCAGAAAGAGTTAGGTAGGACTTACTTTGTCGACCGCGTTTTTGATCTCTTCCGTCGCGTTCTTCGTCTGCTGCTCGAGCATCGCGGCGTGCTCGGCGAAGCTGCGCTTCATGTCCTCCACGCACTGGGTGATGGTGCGCGTCGCCGCCTCGCATCCTTCCGCGAGCTCCCGCCGGCGCTGTTCGACATCGACGTTCAGCTGATCGATGCCGAGCACGAGCTTCTGGAGTTCGAGCAGAGCGCCCTCGACTTCCGACTGCGACCGCTCGGCGATGTTCTCGTGAACGGGCTCGGTGCGGCTGACACCGCCTGCGTTGGCCGTGGTCGCGCGGGGCGCGCACCCTCATCGTCGCTGCGTGGGGCTGAGTCTGCCCGTGCGCGCACCCTGCGTGAAGGGCCGGCCTGTAGATATCATCAGTGTCAGTGTGTGCATGAGTTACGCGCGATGCAACGTACCTCGGGTGGTGGCGACTCGGCCCGCCTTTTCCCTGCGGCGACGGACTGGCGCACCTCAGGGACCTCTCCGCCATCGGTGTTGGTCGGCACCGTCGTCGTCGCACCCGCCGTATTCGTCAGCTCGTCGGCGCGAGGGCTTGCAGGGACGTCGAAGGTTTCGACCTCCATGGCCGCCGTGGTCGTGGCACCCGAGGTCTCCGCCGGCGCGTCGGGGCGAGGCTCTTCAGGGACGTCGTCGTCCGATTCCGTCTTGCGCTTCTTCTTCTTCATCTTGAACCGTGGGTCGCTTTTGGCGCACGGCGTCGCGACCTGGTTCTCGTCCACTTTGACCCGACCTGCCAAGACGATCTCCTGTACAGTAGTAGTCAGCAACCTATGCGCACATAGAGACCACGGGACTCACGCAACGCTGCACCTCCGATGGGCTTTGGCACAGCGATCGCAACGCTCGCGCTGGCCGCTCAGCGTGCACTCCGTTGGCGGCGCGTCCCTGTTGATTTTCCGCAGGTCAACGTCGTGCGCCTGGCAATCCCCGCAGCGATCTTCTCCTAAGAACTAAGGGGAGTGGTCAGCACGGCAATGTGCGCGGGTGCGCGCACACATGGACGGTGCGCGCACCCTTCACAGCTGAGGTAAGTCACTCACCCGGTAGCGCAGCACGCGAGGCCGGTTCCCCTTCTGCACACCCTTCGCCTGCACCTTCGCCGGGGCCTTCCCCTTCCCCTTCCCCTTCCCTTCGTCTCCGCGTTCCGGGCACCTCGACGCGCCTTGCGTTTCGACGGCAGGCTGGATGGCCTCCTCCTCCTCCTCGTCGTCCTCCTCCAGCTCGTCCACCTCCGCCTCCACCTCTCCGGACGCGTCGCTCTCCTCGTATTCGTCCGACGAGGTCGCCTCGCGCCGGCGCTGCTTGCCCTTGGAGCGTGACGACTTCGGCGCACGCACAGACTTGCCGCGGGTGGTGCTCCTGGTTGCGCGACGCGGCTCGACATCGCTGTCGGACTCCTCCGTGTCCACGATGAGCCTGCGGGCTCGGGGTCGCGACGCCGATGTCGAGGCGGGCACGCGTTTCACTCCTCGAGGCGGGCCATCTTCAACACGGTGGTGGAACGGGGCGGGCTTGCGCGAGTTCCGCGTCGTGCGTCTCGCTGGCGGTCTTCGTCTTCTCCTCTTCCTCGTCCTCGACCTCTCCTCGTCGGCCTGTGTTGCTGTGCGGTGCTCCTCCTCGTCTTCCTCGGCGGTGGCGGTGGGGAGATTGGGCGGGGGGTGGGCGAGCAGACTGGCGTGGTTCTGCTCAGACGCAGGGAGTGGGGCTGCGTCCGCCGGCTGGATGGTGTTCCCCGCGACGACGGACAGCGGCGGACCGATGATCGCTGACGACCGGCTCGGGGGACACGGAGGGTGACCCTGCGCGCACCCCTCTGGACGTACTCTCCTCACGTCAGCACCGACCGGTCGTGTCCCGCACCTGGCCGTGTCCAGCCCGCGTCCGCGCCCTGGTCGTGCTCACCCACGTCTTCTTCCTCGTCTTCCTGCGCATCTTCTTCCTCGTGTGATTCTTCGTCTTTGTACACCGTTCCGTCTTCTCTTTCATCGTCGGATGCGTCGTCCCCGTCTTGTCCGGCTATGCGCTTGAGCGCTGTATGTACGTCAGATCACGCAGCCGCCGCATTCAAACGGGACTTACCTCCGAGTCGATCGTTCACTGCGTGAACGCATAAGTGTAAGCACTTCGCGCCGGCTGAGGACGTGAAACACGGGCACTTACTTTGCAAGCACCGGTGAACCTCTCCAGGACCTTCTCGTCCGGTCCGACCTTCTTTGTGCGGATCCGGTACGCGACGTACACACCGGTCTCCTCCATCACTTGCTGCAGGCTGATCGGAGGGTTCTTGAACGCACACTCCAGCGCGAGCACCACAAGCTTGCGCCTCCTGGTGACACGGCCGGACTCTTGCAGCGATTTCGCCCAGTCCGGCGTCTGCGGTGCGAGGAAGCGACCGACACGACGTAAGAGTCGGCGCGGGCGAGAAGTAAACCGACGGGAACAAAGACGTACCAGTATGTTTTCCGTCCATATCTTCGCGACGGCCTCCAACGTCCACGGCCCGTGGTAGATCTCCCCAGGAGAGCTTCCATCTCCCTCACCAGCTGCGGCGCCCAGTATTCCGGATCCGGGGGCGGCTCGTCCGTGAACATCGGCGCAGGCGTCCTTCTCGAGACATTCCAGGACGGTTGACGCGCTCGAGAAATCGTCGTATGAGAGAGTGCCGACCATGATTTGGCGGGAGCGCGAGGGACAAGAGCAGGGGAGAGGACAGCGCGAGTGGGTGAGAGGGAGAGAGGAGAGACGGAGAGCGATCAAGACGAGGCGCGCACCGCGACTGTGGCTTCGCGGGCCGTCGATCGAAGTTGATCCCACGGTTGATCGGAGACGCCCATAGCCACATCTAGATGGGCGGTGGCTGAGATCGCCGTCGATCAGGTCCGATTGATGGCCGCGAGATCGTTCCGATCTCTCGGGACTTTGCCAGCGTCCCGGCCCTCTCATGTGCGCGCACGTCTCTCTGGTGCGCGCACCCCTTCCGTCCTTCCACTTGGGAGGCTTCCACACATGTCTTCTTGCGGGGTATGCCATACGCGCCGTCTCCTAGCGAAGCGATGTGTCCCGGATGGTTTTAGGTGCGTGTCTATGCTGTTGTCGTTGCTGTGACTAACTGGCAATGTGTGGTGTAGCGAGCACACTTTGCGAGCTGTGAGTTCCCTGAATCCGTGTATGTGTATTCGACGAGGTCTCTCCAGTATCGCTCTGACCGTGTCGCATGCACGGTACGTATGTATCATTGACACGGTCGTCTCTTTGGGGCTTTTTAGGTGATCGCGCGCTATAGCGCGCGATCACCTAAAATGGCTATTTTCGTCGGTATGTTATGCGTGATCAGCACCTGTCCGCGCGCGTGTTGCGTCCACATGGTCTAGTTTTAGGGTCAAAAAGGTGATCGCGCGCGACCGCGCGCGATCACCTATTTGGCAGGTATTCTGGCCGACATTTGGTGCGTATTTTGGATCGTTATTACGAGAACGTCGGTCTGACCGGTCCCATTTGCGGCCATATACGGTGATCGCGCGCTATCGCGCGCGATCACCTTTTTGGCCGGTTTTAGGTGCGTTTCAGTGGTCCGCACATGAGTGGGTACCCAATGCGTGCGACTCGCGTGGTGTAGATTAATCCGTGTCCGTCTAACCGTCTTTCATGCTGACATTCGTGGGGACGCGCACACACACCGAGTGATCAATCCGCGTACAATTAAGGCCGTGACACGCTGGAGAGCATGGCGCACGGAGTTGCGTACGGTGCGCATGCATTCCATGCGATCCAAGAAGCGACTATCATGTGACGCGGTCTGCGCGTGTTGTACGTCTGTTTTATCCGATCCATCATTCTTATCTCTTACCGTCGTTCACACTGCGCTGCAGAGTTTCAACAATCAAAGGTAAGTGCACTGTGTCAATGGGGACGGCGAGCCAGAGACTGACCATTTCGTGTGCAGACCGACAATGGCTGCGTGCAGTGCTCCGTGTTCTCCAATCGCGATCGCATGCTGAAGAGGCGGTGCGTACTACCACATACTCCTCCCAAGATGGTCGCTTGGTCGGCTCGCCTGGTGGAGAACCCGGGCGACTTCTACGTGCGCGGGCGACACACCGTGGGCGACCTGATGGCCGCGCTGCGTGTGCTGAGCTTCCCTGCGAAGGGAGACACTGGCCGGCCTCGGAAGGGGAGGTTCTTCCCATGCAGACGTTGGCGACTTGGCGGAGTACTTGGACACGCTCGAGTCCGTTCAGATCGCAGTGGCGAACGTCATGACCGACGTCCACTGCGGTCGTTGCTCGTTCGCTGGAGCAGGCCAACTGGATTATGAGGCTTCTCGTGCCTGTCGCTCGGGAGATAGGTGGAAGATGACGGCTATACCAGTGCGTATTTCTCGGTTTTCTCTCTGACCCGTGTGCTGACTCCGTGGGCACCAGCGCTGGCCAGAAAGACCGCGGTAAGTGTCGCTTCGTAGGGTGCGCGCACGGTCCACTTGCTCACAACGCACGTACGGCGTGATGATCTAGGTGGAAAGCTCAGCGCGGACGAGTGGAGGACCCCGTACCTTCCTGCGATACTTTACATGTATACGGCTTTCCTGCGCGATGAGGTCCGAACGGTGGAAGAGGTCCGTGCGGAATTCAGGACGTACCTTGCTTTGGGACGGGGCTCTTCGTCCGGGATGACAACCGGTGTGGCCACAACGTTATACCGTCCCGCTCAGGCGCGAGCACGAGCTGTCCAACCCGCACCGGTGGAGAGAGAATTCTGGTTTGCGATGTGCGCACACATCCACGTGATCTGCACCTCCAGCGAATTGTTCATCGGTGTGGACCCGCGGCCTTTCGACGGCGTGTCAAACGTGGAGCTTCGACGTCGCTGGCTCCAGAAACTGGGCGTGGCTCTGATGCGGATTGAGAGTACGTGCCAATCTGTCAGGAGCCTGCTGTCACGCGTACCCAATGATTAATTCACAGTCGACACCTTGAAGAACAGCATTCAGAGGAAGCCCCGGGTTCATGAATGTTCCGCTGGGGTTGATCAGCTCGCGGATGTGCAAGAGGTGGTAGAGATGCTGAGGTCCGAGTCGTCGACAACGGAACTCGTGTTCTGGGAGTACCAGGCGCACAGTCCATGCCCCGGTGTTCCGTGCCTGCCTGTTGGGATGATCGAGGGCTCGCCGGGACATGCGACCTGGTCCGCCCGTCAGGCGAAGCATTGCCACCGCGTGCTGGCGCACATGTTGGCCCGGATGGCGATCTTCGAGTCTGTGCGGTTTGCCGACGCCGGCTTGAACGCACAGTTGACGGAGCATCTGCATTTCTGCCACCAGCGTCTGGGCTGGTTAGCGGCTCAGCTCGAGGGGTATTCCGCTCCGGTCTAAGTAGTCGTTTTGTACCGTATACTTAATGTGATCGCCGTAGTGCGCACCTTCAGCCGCGCGCACCCCTGTCCCCGTGCGCGCACCTTCAGCCACGCGCACCCCTGTCCCGTGCGTGCACCCTCTCACAGCGTGCGCAATCTGCGTACAGATTGACTGAGGAGATATGACCCGATGTACACTCACATCCTACCACCCAGCGACGACTGCGGCATGTAACAGAGCAGACCACGTGACAGTCACGTGACCTCAGCTAGGGTGCGCGCACGCGTGGAAGATGGGGTGCGCGCACATAGCTTCCTGCTGTTGTGTTCTCCTGCTGACTTGTTCCGACAGGCCAGCCATGGATCCCTGCGCGTCCATCTTGTGTTGTGCCCTCACTGGACCAACTGTAAGGTAAATGCGACTTCAATTGGCACTGTCCATGCCTCACGTGCACTCATCGTCTCTGCTCAGTTTCAAGTGCACGACCACCTGCGCTCCGTGTCTCATACTGTTTGTTCTGTCGAGCGCGGGGCCTTACTCAGTGAATTCCTTTCGCTGTACAGTGTACTTTACATCTCCATATGCTTACATCTCCTGGTAGTTGACTGACTTGTTCCAGAATTCATCTGTGCAAGCACAAGTGGCCTGGAGGCGATGTGCGACAGCATGCATGGGTGGTTGCAAAGTCCAGTTCTGTTTCCAAAAAGGCTCAATATATCCCCGATATCGTGCTCTGTGCGACAAGCTAACCCAGTCACTGCAAGCTCTGTTGCTCTGGACTGAGTCTGTCTTTTTTGGAGTGCACACGACTGCACACTGCTGCTGGGAAGCAGACTTGGTGGAAACAAGCGTGAACAGTACAGCCGTGAAGGAGAGTTTTGCTGAACGTGACAGCCAAGCCTGATGCAAGTACGAGCAGTGTAGAGAACTGTCTTGTTCTGCTCTTTTCTGTGCACTTGTTCTTGAGTTGTCCTGAATCGTTGTGTCCTGAAATCCACAGCTTCTTGGTTCTCACTCTTGTGCTGTGAGCTGTGAGTTGACAGTGCAGTTGTCTGGTGGCTGTTTTTGAAGTTGGGGCTGTGTACGTGAGTAGTGGGTGTGCTAGAGCTCAGTTGCTGTGTGCTGTGTTCCGCGTGAGTGGGCAGTGTTCCAGTGTGAGTAGAGAGTTTGGAAAACAGTGAGTTGGACAAGTGTGCTGAGAAGACTGTGAGACGTTGGTTACGAGTACAGGAGAGCTGACCTGAGAAAACACAAGTCACTGTTGGCAGTCCAGCGACCTGTGCAAAACACAAGGAGAGTTCGCAGGACAGACACTGCTTGCTGTGTGCGTGGTGGGTGGAGAGTTCGTTGGCTCGCAGGGCTCGCAGACTCACTCTCCACGCCACCGACGCACAGAGCAAACAGTGTGTCCTTTGGAACTCTCCTTGTGTTTTTGCAGGCTGCTGAACTGCCAACAGCGACTTTGTTTTCTCAGGGAGTACGTTTGTGGCTTGAAGTGGACAGTGTGAACGTTGTAGGACACAAGTGTGAGTACTTGGTTGTTGGTAGGTAACTGAAACTGTGAGCCAGAACTTAGTGCCTAGTCCGAGTACGTAGAGCACAGAAACCAGTACGCACAAGCTAGAACACCGTACACAGTACCCGGTACCCAGTGCGTACTCAAAGTGCGTAGTCCTTGGGCCGTAGTACTGTGCTTAGGGTGAGCTCTCGACGTCCTGTAGACACGGACTTTGTGAGAGGGTGTACACAACTGTTTGAAGTGCAAGTAGGAGTGTGTACTTGCAGGCTCACAGTGTACTGTTCTTAGCTCCCACGTGTAGTGTACAACCTAAGCTTGAACTCTGTACGTGTGAACCGTGGCCCCAAGCTCCCTGTGAAGTCTGTGCGTGTGAACCGCACCTCAGGGTCACAGTTCTGAGCTTACAGTGAAGTCCACACGTGTGAACCCCTGGGCTGTGAACTCCCACCCACAGTACACACGTGTGAGGTTATGAGACGAAAACGGGCAACCTGGACGGCTAGGTTCGCCACAAGCCCTAACCCTAATGGGCGCTAATTCCGTTTAGCGCCTGGACTTTGAGCACGTGGACGCGCGTCACGGTGGACGAACGAGAGAGGGGAGAGCAAATGGGAATAAGAAGAGGGTGGACGCGGCGACAAGTCCTGAAGTGGTTGAGCAGCCACGGCACGGACGGGCAGGGACTGGTGAGCCGACGGCGCACCCGCGCGTGAGGGAGCCCGCCTGCCTGCCCAGCCACGCTGCAGTGCGCCGTCGGCGCACCCCGAGGAGGCGGCGAGCGGGGTGCACAGGGTCGCCACTGGCCGCCAAAAGCCAGGCGAACGCGGGGCCGGTGTGAGCATGGGAGTCACCGCGGAGGGGTGCGCCGATGGCGCACTAGCGGTGACGACCTGCTCCCACCGGCCCCGCAAGCCGGCTGCGGCGGACAGGGCGGGCCGAGTGCACCCGCTCGCCGCCTCCTCGGGGTGCGCCGACGGCGCACTGCAGCGTGGCTGGGCAGGCAGGCGGGCTCCTCACGCGCGGGTGCGCCGTCGGCTCACCAGTCCCTGCCCGTTCCTTACGCAGGTGCCTTCGACTGACGGACTTAGCGTTGCGGCCACCTCTTCTTATTCGTAGTCGTCTTATTCGTAGTCTTCTTATTCAGTCTTATTCTCACACAAGTCAGTGATACACACAATAACATTCGTCATTAACGGTCATTAATTGTACATGAGATGATGCAAAAAAACGCGGCCACGCGACAGGACGACAGCTCACTTCTTCGACCGCTTCTTCTGGCGAGCATCCGCGGCGCCGGCACCAGGAGTACGCTCCTCGCGTCCCGCCGGGCCCGCCTGCAACCGATTCACCGGGGCGGCCTTCCGATTGGAGCGACGCGGGGCTGCGTCAGGTTTGGGCGGGCTGCTGCTCGGCTCGCGAACGCGCTTCGGCTTGCGGGGGGTCGGGGACGCCGACGAGGCCGACGACAGCGGAGACGACGGCCGAGTCGACTCAGAGCGCGAGCTCGTCGAACGACCGCGCAAGTCGGACGGGCCAGCCTCCGGGACCTCGGGCACAACGGGCTCCTGGTCGACGGCCATGTCGTCGACGTTCATGTCGTCGACGAAGGGCGGGGCGGACGGGGCACGGGAGAGCGAAGTCGAGCCCAGCTGGAACGACACCGCGGCGATGGTCGGAGGGACGGCAGGGGGACGAGTCGGCGAGCGCGTCGGCGAGCGGAACCACAGCGAGGGATCCAGCTGGCCGGGGGTGTCACGCGCACTCTGAGTAGATGGTTCAGGTGCGATAGGTGTTGAGTGGCGTGACACCACGGGCGGCGGGGGGCGAAGGGCGAGGCGGGGACCGGGGGCGGGATGGACGAAGGCGGGGGCGGCGGCGCGGGGACCTGGGGGTCGACGTCCATGGAGTCGACGGGGTTCTCGCCGGCTGCGGACGTGTCCGGGATGGGGGCGGGGGCTGCGCTCGACTCGGCGGAGGGCTGAGGGTCCTCAGCCGCGGCAGTCTCCTCGGCGGCGGGGCAGTCTCCTCGGCGGCGGGGGCAGTCTCCTGGACTGCCGGAGTGTCCTCGTCGCTGTCCGAGATGAGGGCGCGCGACTTCGGCCCCTTCTTGCGCGTGGTCTTGGGGGCGGGGGCAGCCGTCTCCTCAGCTGAGGGGAGACCTCAGGGGTGGGCTCGGGGACCGCCTTCCTCATCTCGGCTTGGGGCGAGGGCGCTTGGGCGCCGCGTCCGTCGACTCCGCCGCGGGCTGCTTCGAGGTCGACGCCTCCTGGTCGGCCGTGGACTTGCTCGCCTTCTTCGGCGCAGAGCCTTCGCCGGCGGTCTTCTTGGACGCCTTCTTCGGCGCAGAGCCCTCGCCGGCGGCCTTCTTGGAGGGCTTCTTGGGGGCGGGAGTCTTCTTCTCGACCGCCCTCTCCTTGCCCTTGCCCTTGCGCTTCGGGGCCGGCTCGTCGTCCTCGTCCTCCTCCTCGTCGACCTCCTCCTCGACGTCGGACTTGACGTACTCGTTGTCCTCGGCGGCCTCCAAGTCGAGCAGGTCGAGGACCGCCGCGCCGAGCATCCGCTGCCTCGAGCTCGCTGAATGACGAGTCAGAGTGGATTTCAAAAGAATGATGTGGTACTTACCGAGGTCGAAGCCCGGGGTGATGAACGCGATGTGCATCACGCCCTTGTCCCAGGCGATGTTGTTGAGGGCGACGTCCACGGACTCGGTGACGACGATGCGGTAGACGAAGACGTCGCGCATCTGCCCGAAGCGGAGGATCCGCCCGATCGCCTGCTCGTCGGACTGCGCCGACCACGTGGTGTCCTGGACCGGATGAGAGAAGGATGAGAAAGGAAAAAGAGACAACGCACCAGGAAGATGATGACGTTGGCCCACGCGATGTTGAGCCCCGTCGCGCCGACGCCAGACATGACCAGGATGGTTTTGCCACCCCAAGTCGACTTGCGGAACTTCTCGACCTCTTCGGCGCGCTGCTTGGCGGACAGCGAGCCGTGGATGAAGACGGCCTTGAAGCCGTAGGCCGCGAACAACTAAGACGGGTGAGAAAAGGATTGAGGATTACAAAAAGAAAACTTACGTTCTCGAGCACGATGTTATTCGACGGGAACGTCGAATAATGACGATCTTGTCCGGCTCGTCCCCCGAGTACGAGACGTACACGTAGTCCTTGTCGGGGACCAGGCGGTTGGAGTCCGGGAACTCGGGGAGCTGGGAGAGGGGGACGCCATCGAGCTCCGGGTCGTTCCGCATCGGGGGGGCCTTCGGCTTGCTGTGGTTCTCGAGCAAGTCGACGAGGGCCATGAGCTTGGCCGTCGGGATGGCCTCGAAGTCCTCGCGCGTGACCGGGATCTTCGCGTCGGGCGGGGGGTGCCGGGCCATCGAGAAGTGGAACATCGTCCGGCGAATGTCCACGTAGAAGTTCTGTGAGTGAAAATTGTCAGCCACTGAAAACTGGCGACAGGTGCGCCATCGGCGCACCCGCGCGAGGGGGAAGGAAAATCATGACAGTGGCCTGAGAAGGCACGGCCGTCCAGTGCGCCATTGGCGCACCGCGGCGGAGGGGTCCGCGGGTGCCACACAGGACTGATCCACTGGCGGGCAGTGAGCCATTGGCGCACCGCAGCAGGGCCGGCCTGTGAGACCCGCGCCTCGCGAGGGGTGCGCCGTTGGCTCACTGCATCTGTGTGCCAGCGAACCGCCCAAGGTGGCTCATGGGTGGCTGGCCAGCGCACCCTGCGCTGCGGTGCGCCAACGGCGCACTCGACGAGGGCACTGAGGAGAGGTTACGGTGTTCCAACCGGACCTCTCAGCAGCCCCGCGCGGGGTGCGCCTTCGGCGCACTCGACCCCCATACTCGAGCAAGTGGTTATTTGCTCACCTTGTCCGTCACCGCGGCCTTTTTCCCCTTCGCGTCCTGGCCGACCTCAGCCTGGATCGACTGGACCACCTTGCGCTCGTACGGGGCGAGCCGGAGCATGATGGAGATGTCGTTGCAGGGCGGCAAGCCACTGACAACGTTCCCCTGCCAGTCCGTGGACGTCACCGTCCGACGGATGACCATGCCCGCCCACCGCTTCCGGTAGTCGGCCATGATGGTGATGGTCTCCGCCGCCGTGGCCGAGCTCCACGTCGACGGCTCCCCGTCCTTGCTCTCCTTGGCGGCGGTGACGCGCCGGAGGGTCCTGTTGTCGCGCCGCTCCGCCCGGTCCTTGGTCTGCGCGCGCGTCAGGAGCCGTCCGTGACCGGCGAGCTCCTCCTTGTACTCGTCGCCGAATCGGGGGAGGCCCATCAGGCGACCGATGGAGACGAGGTCCTGTGCAGCGACGGTGAGCTTGGTTACAATCCGGAGAGTGGGACTTACCATCGCGCTGGTGATCGTCGGCGTCGCCGACAGTCCTACCATGGAGCCCGCGTGCTCCCGAAGATTCCGCACCGCGCGGAAGGCCGCATTCGGCTTGCGCATCTCGTGGATCTCGTCCACGATGACGAGCCCCCAGTTGCGGCTGAAGACCGACTTCGCCTTGATGGCGGCGCCTCGCGGGCGGGGCGGGGGATCTCCGATCCGGCGTGCCACGGCTCGCCAGGCGGGAGCATGAAGACCTCGGTGCTGTCCTTCGACACCGCCTATGAAGCTTGTGAGCGAGGAATGGATGAGGAGGCGTGTACTTACCGGCACCGTCGAAGGACGATCTGCCGACTCTTCGGCTGCTTGAAGGCGTTGACCGCCGCCCAGAACTGCTCCGCCCGGTTGCCGCGACGAGGGCGGTGTACGACATGAGGTCGAACGACTTCGCCGACACGTACCGGTGGATTTCGAGCCGCACCTGGGTCTCGAGCGAGACGGGCACGACGATGAGAGCGGGGCGTCGAGGAAGTTGCCGTCGTCGGAGCCCGGGAACTTGACGTTTTCTGTAAAGAAGGTAAGTAGCTGTCTTCACCGCGCATAGAAAATTACTTACTGTACTTGCCCGGGAAGTGGCCGTGGGACGCGTAGTGCATCCGGAAGTGCGCCATCATGCAGATCAGGCCGACGACCTGCATGGTCTTGCCGACGCCGACGCCGTCCATGAGGAGGGTCGGCTTGCCGGCCAGCACGTTGTCGAGCATCTTGACGATGCCGACGAGCTGGTGCCAGCGGGGCGCCAGCGGGATGGTGTCCTTGCCCTCGAGCGCCTTGATGCCCTCCGGGGACCACGGGTCGTGCACGCCGATCGTCGACTCGACGAGGTTGAAGAACGGGATGCTCTTGTCGGCGCTCCGGCCGAGCATCGCCCAGATCTCGTCGGGGGTGCACTTCTCGTACTCCTCGACGCCGGTGCCCCACGCGAAGTCGTCCAGGTTGTGCACACCGATGTGCAGCTCCGCGTCGTCCTCGTCCTCGATCTGCTCGAGGAGGCGCTCCAGCTCGAAGTTGAGCTGGTCGACCTCCTTTGCGTCGGCGAGCTGCTGGAGCGCCTCGACGACCGACTTGGGCAGCCCTGCAACGAGGTCAGAGGTCGTCAGGAAGGCGATGACAGGGACGTACCGGGTACCGCCTTCGAGCGGTCCTTCATCTGGTCGCGCACCTTCTGGACGTTCTCCAGGTGCGTCTTGAACTTCTCGACGGCGGCGACGTTGTCGAGGTTCCTCGCCGCCTCGAGGTGCGTCGAGACCTGCTTGAAATACCTGGTCATCGCGCCCTTGATGTCTTGCTGTCCTTCTTGAGGATCTCTGCACCGAGGGTTAACGCGGCACGCATGCACAACGCGCGCACTCACCGTCCCAGTCGTTCTCCATCCCGGCGACCCACTTGTCGATCTTCTTGACCTCGTCGCCGATCCGCTTGCCCTCCGAATGCCACAGGTGCGGGAAGATCCGCCCCACGTACTTCGTGGCCCACGGCTTCGGCGTCGCGGCCCTGAAAGTCGCCCCACCGCCGAGGAGCTCGAGCACGACCGGGAGCGTCGCACTGGCGAGGTTGCACTCCTTGACGTTGGGGAGCTGGGCGTGGCGTCAGTACCGGAGTTGGACGACTGTGACGGTGCTCACCGTCATCGTCTCCATGTTCCGCATCGTTTGATACGGCCCCAGCTCGACGGTCTCGAGCACCTGCAGCGTCCGCGCGCGGATCTGCCACTCCTTCACGGCCTCCGTCAGCCATCCGAGGACGGCGTCGCGACCCTCCGAGTCCTTGTCCTTTTTTATCTTGAGGCACGCTTGGCGGGCGGTCGCGCCCTCGATGGCCTTGTACCTCGACACGAAGGCGAGGACCTTTTTGAGCAGGGCGCCGTCGTGCGCCATCCAGGAACTCGGAACGGACTTCGGCCCGGCACTCTCGTCCCACGGCAGCCCGGTGTTCTCCTTGCGCGTCAGCACCTCCCACGCGCCGCAACTCACCAGATCCGGTTGGCTGACCATAAGGTCGAAGACGTTGTGTTGGGGCGTCCAGACGCCCATTGCGAAAGCGGGAGCGAGGAAGCAGGGGTGGCGGTACAGGAAGAGAGTAAAGTGGGGGGCAGGGAATGGTTGTGAGGGGCTTTATAGCCCACAGCAGTCCCATCAAATTTCGGCCAACGGGGATCTTCGATCCAGATAAGCGTTAACCGACACGATCAGCGCCCGTGGACACTGTGGCGCGTGATGGGATTGGACGGGCTGCTCGCGAGAAGTGCGCCGACGGCGCACCGCGGCGTGGGCGAGCAAATTTTCATTAAGCGCTCGCTGCGGATAGGCCGGGAGGATCAGCGCGGTTAGCCGGCGATCGCGCCGATCTTGATCCCGCTGGGGTCTGGAGCGCGGATGGGGCATACCGCTTTGGGTAGGCTGGGCGCGCGCGGAGCGTCGGGTGCGCCGTTGACGCACCGCGGCGGGGCCTGCCACCGCCCGCCGACCCGCCTTAGCAGCTCGCCCCCGGTGCGCCTTCGGCGCACCCCCACGGGCAGGCCACGCCAGCCCACCGGTCACGTGCACCGCCGCGCGCCCTGGCCCCAGTGCGCCTTCGGCGCACTGAGCGCAACCTCGCTCACGAGGGGTCGCCTCGCCCACGCTTTCTGTTGCTTGACGGCTGGTTCATCCCTTGCGCGGGGTGCGCCATCGGCTCACTGGACTGGCGTTGTCACCACACCGTACATGTCGCACTGTCTATATGTCACTTTCCACATTGAGGTAGAGTACACACTATGGACCGTTGCTCATTCCGACGACTCCTCCTCTTCCTCGCGACGCCTAATCCTCTCATCCCTCGCCGCCTGCTCCCTATCCGCTTGCTCTTCGTCTGATGACACCTCGAAAGGCACGTCATACACAGGTGATTGCCGACCTTCCTCCTCGGGGTTCATCTCCTCCGGACGCACGCTCCGGATCACCCAGCGCTGGCCCTTGTAGACCAACGGATTTACGGCAAGAATGGGAGCCGGGCCTCGGCTCCCGGTGGGCACGGCCTTTGCCGATGAGGCGCCGGCCTGACGTGTGTTCCAGATCCGGTCATTCTCAGGCTGCGGCAGCCAGAGCATTTGGTTGAACAGCCCCAGCAGCGCGCGGCGGAGCGCGGGGATGTCCACCTCGTCGTGCTTAGCCAGAAGCGCCGACCACTGTTTCCAGTACGTACACTGCACGTAGTTCTGCAGCGAATGGTTGATGGTGGTGTGTGTCGGCGGGAAATACCGGTCGAACATTATGCCCGTCCAGAATGTTCCGTCCACGTGATTGACGCGGCACTGCGTGAACGGCAAAACCGGCGACTTGAACAGCCTGTCGGGTGCGTTCACCTTCTCGATCGCTGTCACCGTCAGGAACGATCGATGCTGTCTTCCCTTCGGAGATGGGGCCTTCTGCAGGAGATCACACTTGAATTGCTCCCACAGACGGGACACGCGTTGATCCGCGTTCAACGGAGGCGCTCGTCCTCGTTCGTCCTCGCGATCGATGGCCTCCCTTCTAGGCTCTGCGATGTCGATCCGGATGCCCCGGTCCGCCAGTCCGAGATTACGATCAGGCACGGGTTCGGTGCGGTGATTGATCGTCGAGCTCGTCTGCGTTTGGCGATTGGGGACTCGGTACGGATTCCGTTTGGATGGGACTACCCGGATCCCCGTCTGGCCGAACAAACCACGGAGGGTGGGCATGTCCTCGGCCTTGTATGCCAGCGCCAACATGTCGCCGTCGAGCACACGGCGTCTGTCCGTGAGATAGCTCCCGTGGTCGCTGACGATAGTGCCCAGGAGGAACAGGCCTTGCTTGTCACCCACGGGTGACCAGTCGTATCGTTCGTCGTCGTAGACATCGACGTCATGCTCAGACATGAGATCCTCGGCCTGGTGCATGGCGACGTCAGCCTCCAGCTGCGGATATGGTGTCTTTGTGGTGTTGCGGTAGAGGCATCCGTTGAGCATGTGTGTGAGCACAACGCCGAGCTGCAGTGACTCGTCCCTCGCCCGGATGGCGTTGGGACTCTTCTTCAGGTGTTCGATCATTGTATAACAACAGAACACTCTCCACCACTTGAATGTCCTGTGGGCGGGTTACTTTACTGATCATACCCTGTATTCAAACTCAGCTTACCACCACGTCACTGCTGGCCAAGAGAGGCATGCATCCTGTAGTAAATCGTATGGGATGTCCTTGAGTGTCGACCCTGCCTTGCACGCTGCGACTCGGATTTCGTAGCGACCTGTTCCCTCCTTCCTCGTGGTCTTGCAGTCATTGAATACCTTCGTCCACTCGTTTACCCTCTTCAGTAGCTTGTCAATCTTCCCGGGGAGCAGCTCCAGGGGTAGAGCGGCGTCAAAGTGGCCATTATGAAGCTGGTAGTGCGCAGACTTCTCCGTGCTGTAAACATTGATGTACCTAACCCGGTCAATGCTGCCCAAGCTGGGGGTGCCGACGCGAAAGCCGGCGACATCACTCAGCTGCACGGCGTGATCAATCTTGAGTACCTTGCCGCGTGGGAGATGGCTGATTGTTAAAGGGCTACCGTGGGGCACGGCATGTCGAATGATTCGTTCCATATTATCTCTGCGCCAGTGGACAACGTGTCCAGGGCGGCGGACCTCGAGGGCGACGTCAACAAACCACCTGTGGTTCAGATCGTCATCTGTGATCTGGTCGAAGTCGAGGTGTCCGAATACGTCTTGGAGCGCGAACTCTGCATCGTCGTTGTCCTCGGGGTCATGGTGAGTCCCTCCTTTGGCCCCGCGGACCTCGTGATAGAAAAAGGCGCCCTGGAACTGGGGGATGCGGTTCATGTACCGACGAAGCCTGCGGTAGAAGGTGGGGATGTCGTGCGCGGGTATCTCCGCTGTCCCGAAATGCAGCTGGCCCCTGGACCCCTGGGCTACCGTGTACGCATTGCTGTAACTGGCCGGCCAATGGCTGAGGTGGGGGTAGTTCATTTTGGTGAGTGCGGCGAGCACGACCTTCTCGTAGAACATGATGATCAATGACTGAGGGATGGCGGGGGACATGTGGGGCGTATACATCGCGGGGAACATCACATTGACTTTGGAGCGCAGCCCGACTTTGGCTAGGCACAGGTTGGGGATCCTGCTAATCTCGACCTCTGTGCGCTGCTAAATTGACGGTGATGAGAGGCAAGTCTGTGTCACTACTACCAGGACTCACATTGCCACGTGTGATTGGCCAGTAGAGATAGACGCGATGGGTCAATGTTTCGCTGAACGGCGCCACGGGATAGACATTGAGGCTGCACTGATACGGCAAGTCCTCCGAGGTTCCCAAGATCGAGTCGAAATCACGGATGACGTGGAAATAATCCTCGCTGTTGCGTTCCTCCTCGTCCTGCGCGGGCGGAGGCATTTGGGCACTGTTGCGTGCGTTGATGAACAGGCGATGTTCTTCGTCCGACGCGCTGTGGTGGTAACGCCCTGCCAGCGCTGCGAGGCATGTCTCGAAATCCTGACGCTCGACCACGTTGTGCTCGTTGAACCAAATATCTTCCACGAGAAGATTGAACTCCCGCAAAGAGATTGTCTCCCGCGGCAGGTCCGCGTCCGGGTGGTGCTCCGGCTCCCAGACCATTTGGTAGGTTAGGTGTTGAGCTTCGCTGTCGGCGTGGCTGGGTGGTTCGCGAAGCTGGGAGGGGCGGGGGCTATGGGCTTCTGCGTGGGCTCGCTTTTTATGGTCCGGCGGGCGCGATCTACTGGGCGGGTGTACCTCAAATTAGACCGCTTTTGCCGATCGGTTGCGCGCATCGACCCACTAGTTCCTGCAGCAGGATTACCCGCTGTCGCCCAATGTCTAGTGCATGTTTCACCGGATCCGCCATCACTCGCCTGCATGCCTGATTCAGCCACCAGCCGACAGCTGCGCGCTATACCTCATTTGGTCATTGAATTTCACATTTGTTTTCATTCTTCATCCCACTCGATTAGTGCTACTTCGGCGCACCGCGGCGAGAGGGCCACTGCTCACCGCCCACTGGTGCTACTTTGGCGCACTGCGGCGCGGCCCGGGCTCCACCGACCCGTGGTGCTACTTTGGCGCACCGCGGCGAGAGGGCCAGTCCTCACAGACCCCTGGTGCTACTTTGGCGCACCGCGGCGAGGGGCTGGTCCGCAGTCACGTGCGGTGCTATTCCGCGGCGCCGTGGCGAGTCCGATCTGTTGTCACGTGTGCTTGAGAGTACCACCGCGTGGACCCGTCCAAACAGAGACTTGGTGCTACTTCGGCGCACTGCACCGCTGCCCAACGCAGGCCTAGGAACCCTGTCAGTGTGTTGCGCATGTCAGGTGACAGTTTGAAGGTCAGATGACCGATAGCGTGAGTACTTCCACATCTGCTTTCATTCCCGTTCTGCACCATTGTCCGAAATGGAAATATTTCCTTTTTAGGCAATGAACCCAATAAGGCAGGTTGGACATTCTTTTACAACAGTATCAAGGCAAATCCCACTATTACAATGTGCAGTGACAATGCAGTTGACAAATTGGGTGCGACATTGTCTTAGAGCATTGACAACGTGAAAGGCTCAATATCAAGCCAAATAACTGTAACTGGCCTGCATGACCTTCTGTTGCATTGCTGACTCAGTCAACCACTCCAATGTACAGTCAGTTGATAGTCAGATGCCCCTATTGCTGACAATGTTAATGACTTAGATGTGCTGAGCTATCACTGCTGTCGCACCCTGGGCAACCTTGTAATGGCA